TCAGATGCAGGCAGTGACTCGGGCAACACTGAGCTCTATGATCCTGAGCTAGGTGTCCGGCTGTCTTGGGACAACCTCAGCGAGGTTCACAAGGCCTGTGTGAGGAACCGCTTGGACAAAAAGTCGTGGAAAGTTCGGGACACGATTGATATGATGACTGCGGTGCGGGGGCCACAGCCCAAAGGTGTGAAGATCACGGATGTGGAAGATGGGAGCAGTGCTGCAGAAGCGTCAGAGGAGGAGGAAGTGAAGCCGGCTTCTGCAAAGCCCAAAATCAAAGCAACTCCAAAGGCCAAGAGCAAAGGAACGCCGGACTGGAAGCTGGCAAAGGCTGCCCGAGCCTTGAGGTCCCCTCTGGCCAAGAAACCACGTCACAGTTCCAGCAGCTGGCAGGCAGACCCCAACCCCAATGACAGAGAGAGTGATGAAGAAAGCCGAGGCCCCTTGCTTGTTGCTCATCCTACCAGTTTAGCAGCTAGGTACTATCCCCCCGAAAACCTAAACCCCAAACTCGGCCCGACAACCCCGGCCAAACACTCACATGCCACAACCCGCTCTGCGATAGACTCTTGAACTGTACCTCATATAAGTAGTCAACGTGGGTGCGAGGGTACTAGAAATATGTGTTTGCCATGTCTTCTCTGTCTGAGGTGCAAAGGATGCAAAGGCCAAGCCTGAAGCTGCCAGCAAGCCCGTCGAAGAGAAGGAAAGGTCGCCGGCAGCTTGTCGGCACACCTGCGTGTGTTGTGTTCTCACGCAGACATTGTCGTCGGAGCAACCGAGGTGAAAATTGTCAGTGCGAAGGACTTTGCCCGATCTGCTTTCGATGTCACTATAGCACGATGCCAGCAGCGAGCCCTCGAGCATGCGAACATGGCCGTCCCAGACCCGGGCCATCAGTTAGAGCTGCTTTCGATGCGGCGGCAGAAGGGGAACCGCGGTGGAGCCGCGAGACTTAGCCGATGTCCATTGTTCTAGTATTGTTCATACATATCCGATTCCGTTCCTCTCATGTATGTGACGTAGGCACTATCTAAGGAGCTACTCCGTAGACACTATTGAGAATGCGCAGGACGGCTGGAAGGTCGAGACCAGGATCAGAATGTCTGGAAAGTTGAAAGGCCACGAGTACAGGGCCTACAAGAACCCAAAAGGGCTCACATACTTCAGCTTGAAACAGGCCAAGCTGCATGGTTTCAAGGGTTGGCTCGATGGGACCATCCCCGATCGTAGGATGAAGCCGAAGGCAAAGGCAGCCCCGAACAAATCAGCTCCAAATGGTGCTGGTAAGAAGAAGTAGTGCCGAGACTTTATCCAGAGCTGCACACTGTACCGCTGCTGCTTGCTAACCTAGTGGTACATCGATAGGCTTACATAGGCTTGGTTACTTAAGCCCCCTTGGTATATAGCAGAGCCCATATGGTCCTTCTGGTCTTTACAAACTAGGTATAATGTATAGGGGTTAGGTGGTTTTAGGTTACCTAGCTTCCTAGAGTCATCGTCTTCGGGGATGCAACAGCGATGTGCAGGTAATGGGTGGAGCGTCTCGTGGGTTTTTCTTGTGCAGTGAATAGCCACTGTGCAAGAGTTCAATCATCCTGGGGTGCACTGGTTCTGGTGCCACAAAAAGCGCAAGGGGTGCCGACCAGCATGCACATGTGTCCTTCAGTGATCGCACATGATGCTGGAACCCTGCTTGCAACCTATAGCATTGTGCTGACTCAAGGGTTTTGATCGGTACGGCTGCATTCTGTAGAACAAGCATGCGGCCAAGTTTGCTGGCCAAGCTTATTATATGGCTGGAGTCCCATCCGAAACCAGAGCGCTGCAATGATTTCGTGTCCTGGCCTGGTTCAGCCCATGCGCTGTTGTCTGCAGCTTGAAGATCTCTTCTGTGCCACAGTCGCCGTGTCTCAGGTGGAGGCTTTTGCTGGGAATGCTTGCTTTTCATATGCCATGCGCATATCCGGATACGAGGGCGTGTCCATGGATGCTCCCTGGTGCATAACTGCATAAGACATGAACACGGTGCATAGCACGCTGAAGGTTTAGGGCCTTGACCTTTCCAAGTACCGTGCCTCAGGTCTTGGAGTCCCAGAACTACAATATCTACCGGACAGTGGGGTTCTTGACCCTACTAATGGCTGCGACTCGTCCACATATGTGTTACCAGCAGTCGGAGTAACACAAATCTCTGCCACAAAACCATCGGCTCAGGTTCATTTTACAAGACCGGGAGGACTGCTTATGGCAGGCCCACCATGCAGTTCGTGGGTATGGGTGTCCTTTGGCAGGAGTTGTTCTTGGCCTTACTTTTGTAGCATGGGATGTGTTATGGAATGTGTGAAAATACAGACTATAAGGTCCAGGGCATCGTGCAAAAGATCGATCGAATATCCTGGCGGGTTCGGTGCAAGAACGAGAACGGTCTACGCGAATAATATCCTCGTGCAAAGGTTGGTGTATATGTGTCTCGGATGCCAGAGTGTCTAAAGCTGACGCCTGATCATTCCACGATGTCTGCCGCTAAGTCTTTACTATGCCTGGCGAAGAGGAGTCTACTTCTGTGTAGAACAGCCGCTGAGCTCTGCCACCAGCTTATTGGCCCTAAACCCATATGTAGATCCCCCGACTACACCCACGCCCAGTTGATGTTCGACTACAAGCCGATGAGGCGGCTTCTTCGAAAGACCGGAGCAAGGACGCCGCTAACTTAAGCAAACCTTACAACCCCAATGTATCCCACATATAGCTATGTATAGGATAGAGATAGAATCGGCCCAAGCCTGGGATGCCTAGAGCTCCTAGTGATTCTGCAATCCCAAGATCCAAGCAGGAGTGTGGTCTTCCCCATGGCCTACTATGGATCCGAAACCCTGAAGATGACCAAGATTCTGGGCAGCAGTCGGACTGTATACAGGTAAAATCTGGGGCCCCAAACGACATCCTCGACAGTCGACAGTCGGCCACTGAGGGCTTCCCGACCTTGTCGGGGGGTTTATTTTCTGGCATACCATCTCGAGGTTTAGGTCTCCTACTTAAAGATTGTATACATACCCTATTACAATCCAAGCCCCGCAAGTCACAAGCTGTATGGCTATCCTCAAATCAGCAGTCTTATTGAAGCCAGCTATTCTTTTAGAGGTGACTCCCGAGCCATAAGCAACGACTCCCGAGCCATAAGCAACTAATCATTTGGGGGTATGCAATAGGTGTTTCTGGGGTCCTTGTAGTGCTGTCAGCTGACTCTAGGGTTCAGATACGTGTGCACTCATTCCAGACAAAATGGACTGGGCCCTTGTTATAAGTTCTCTCTCCCTCCCATATATTTGTCTAACTATGTAAGGTATAGAACACACAAACAGACATACAAACCATATTATATGTATATATGCATATACTTATGTGTCTGTATATGTAGAACTCTGTGTATATATATATATATATAACATAGATATGTAATCACATGTTTACATATGTGTATATGTATACATTTATACATACATACATACATAACATAGCATAACATAGCATACACCCGAGGAAATGAATACATGCAATTAAGTGCCTCAGTTGCATGTATTCAAATCATACATATACATACACATACACATATACATGTACATATACATGTACATACATACATACATACATACATCACATACCAATTGTATATGTATATATATATATATATATGCATGTGTGTATATATATATATAGAGGGATAATAGACAGACCATACATGCGGCTTCTCCCATAATGCCGAATGTATCTGCACGCATGTTGGGCTTCTATCTATTCTTCTGGAGCCAGTCTATATTGCGAAATCACGGAACTATTGGCTGCATCTGTCTCTCCCTCTTTCCAGCATTTTCTTATTTCCTGGATTCCTTCCTTCCTCTTCCCCTCGGGTTTGTCGTTTTTTTCTGTCTCTCTCTCTCTCTCTCTCTCTCTCCCTCTGGGTCTATCGTTCTCTTTCTCTCTGTCTCTTTCGTGTCTCCCACTTCGCCTCTGTACGGTCTCGTCGTGCTGCAAGACCCGAGCCTAGGATGTGGTCGACGTTGCCAAGCATTGGCTCACTTCGCCGTTCTGTGAGCTTCAAAGATGCCAAGGCCAAATTGGGCAGGATGAAGAAACCCAGCAGTGCATATGGTCTTAATATGTCATGCCACACAGCATGTGTCTGCCAGGGGTGTGTCCCACATGCTGTCCTCACTTTTGCCATCCTAGGAAGAAAAGCTTGGTCGTGCGTCGAACAGACGAGTGTGGACACACAAAGGTGACAGGCAGGCAGAAAGAGCTCCGCGAAAGCGCCGCCTATCCAGTGGATTTTGGTTTCGCTATGGTTCCGTTTCCTGCCTAGCATGTGCTATCTATATAGTGCCATATGTAATATAGATGCTTGCAATCCTAGGTTGTTGCCGGCCGAGATCGGCAAGAGGGGCAAGCCGGGATGCTGGTCCGATGACTCGGAATCTGAGGATGGAGCGATCGATGATGTTTTGTTGTCCCCGGCAAAATGCAAATGGCGCCAGGTCCTTAAGAGGCTGCCCCAGGCACGAAAGTAGGCACTTACGTTCTAGGGTTTGCCGTGGTTCATTTTGGGACGCAAAGCACCGCAAATAGAGGGCATTTGTGATGTCAAACGGTCCCAGGGTGCCTGGGGCCTGCGTAGCAGTTTTGCAGGCTTGGGGGGCCCGGAGGTGCGTGTCACTGCGTGTCACTGCGTGTCACCGGGATGACAAGTGTCCTCTAATAGAGGGTACTTCGCACAAATGAGGGGACTTGGTATATCAAGGAACGTGTCACTGCGTGTCACTGCGTGTCGCCTAAAGCCCTCAAAACCACATTTTCCTGTGCTGCCAAAAAAGAAACCATCGAGCGAGATCGGCTCAAAATTGGGCTTGATATATCTTCTGTGTCATTTTGACACCAGAGAACATGACCGAGAAGCGAGGCTGGGTTTGCGTGTACGTGTCGTAATAATACAGAACATACTGATGCTTTATGTCACAGGTATTGGCGCTGTCTTGAAAGAGAACAACAAGAAGAGAGTGGAAGCTCTTAAGTCGAAGAAAAAGGAAAGTGGTGAAGAAGCCAGGTCACCTTCGATCGAAACCTTGCTGGAACAGCTTTATGACAACGGATCAAGCCAAGCAGCTGAGTCCAAGGACCAGGACACAAAGCGACGGATGCGGATTAAATCCAAAGGCAGGGACGATCGTGCAGAAACATGCAGCAAGACTGAGGACAAGCGCACAAGCAGCCCCAGCCAGCCAGAGAAGAAGCTGAAAACTTCGGCAGCAGCCAAAGACCGAAGCCACAGCAAACCTGAGAAGCCGGCCCGCAGCAGCAGCAGCCCACCAGAGAAGCCCAAAACCGCAGACCCAACAAAGAACACCAAGGAGAAGGAGAAGGTCCGCAGCAGCAGCAGCCCGCCAGAGAGGGCCGAGAAGCCTGGCAGTGAAGCCCCAGCAACGAAGAGAGGGAAGGAGAAGGATAGCAGCAGCAGTCCAGGCTCAGAGCCAGCAAAGACAGGAAATGTCCGCAGCACCAGCAGCCCGCCAGAGAAGCCCAGAAGTGCAGACCCAGCAACGAAGACAAAGCAAAAGGCGAACAAAAGCAGCCCGTGCTCAGATGCAACAAAGAAGACCGCAGAGAAGGAGAAAACACGCAGCATCAGCAGCCCACCAGAGAAAGCCCGCAGCAGCAGCCCAGTTTCAGACAAAACGAAGAAGACCAAAGAGCTTAAGGAGAAGGCCCGCAGCACCAGCTGCCCGCCACAGAACGCCGAGAAGCCCAGCAGCACAGACCCAGCAAAGAAGACACAGGAGAAGCACAGCAACAGCCCAGGCTCGGAATCTAAGGCCAAGGAGCTTAAGGAGAAGCCCCGCAGCACCAGCAGCAGCCCAGCTTTAGACCCAACAAAGACTACCATCGAGAAGGAAAAGAACCGCAGCAGAAGCAGCCAGCCACAGAAGACCGCAATGACCAAGCAGAAGGAGAAGGTACGCAGCAGCAGCAGCCCACCAGATACCAAGGATGAGAGCAAGGCCCGCAGCTCTAGCAAGGAGAACGACAGCAGCAGCAGCCCAGGCGCAGACGCAGCAAAGAAGAGAAAGGAGAAGCAGAGCAGCAGCAGTCCAGGCGCAGACGCAGCAAAGAACACGAAGGACAAGGAGAGCAGCAGCCCAGGCTCAGACGAAGCAAAGAAGAGGAAGGACAAGGAGAGCAGCAGCCACCCAGGCTCAGAAGCAGCAAAGAAAACGAAGCAGAAGGAGAGCAGCAGCCCAGGCTCAGACGAAGCACGCAAGAAAAAGGAGAAGGAGAGCAGCAGCCACCCAGGCTCAGAAGCAGCAAAGAAAACGAAGGAGAAGGAGAGCAGCAGCAGCCCAGGCTCAGACGCAGCAAAGAAGACGAAGGAGAAGGAGAGCGGAAGCCACCCAGGCTCAGAAGCAGCAAAGAAGACGAAGGAGAAGCAGAGCAGCAGCAGCCCAGGCTCAGACGCAGCAAAGAAAACAAAGGAGAAGGAGAGCAGCAGCCACCCAGGCTCAGAAGCAGCAAAGAAAACGAAGGAGAAGGAGAGCAGCAGCCACCCAGGCTCAGACGCAGCAAAGAAGAAAAAGGAGAAGGAGAGCAGCAGCCACCCAGGCTCAGAAGCAGCAAAGAAGACGAAGGAGAAGGAGAGCAGCAGCAGCCCAATCTCAGACCCAGCAAAGAAGACAAAGGAGAAGGAGAGCGGCAGCCACCCAGGCTCAGAAGCAGCAAAGGAGAAGGAAAGCAGCAGCAGCCCAATCTCAGACCCAGCAAAGAAGACAAAGGAGAAGGAGAGCGGCAGCCACCCAGGCTCAAAAGCAGCAAAGGAGAAGGAAAGCAGCAGCAGCCCAATCTCAGACCCAGCAAAGAAGACGAAGGAGAAGGAGAGCGGCAGCAGGAACCCAGAGAGGGCTGAAAAGAGGAAATCACCGGACACCCCAGCACCCGGGAAGCAGGAAGCAAAGAGGCCCAAGGAAGCGACGGATGTAGATGCTCAGAAGCTGGTAGCAAAGAAGGAGAAAAAGCCGGATGCAGACAAGAAGGTTGGAAAGACAAGCCAGGAGAAAGCCAAGGAGATAAAGGACAAGAAAGAAAATAACGAGAAGAGGGATAAAAAGGAAAAGAGCCAGGGTGTTGAGGACCGGACACGTATGGTTGCCCTATATGAACACATCTGTACACATGCATACAAACATAAAGATGATGCCTCTAAATATGTGTGTATACATTACTGCATGTATATATACATATATATATATATATATATTTATGTATGTTGTCTGAGGATATGTGGGTGTGCATGCGTGCATGTGTGTATACGTGTCGTCTAGTGATTATGATGTATCCAGGAATAGGCCGCTGTGTTTCTTCCGTCTATGTTGTGCCAACTGTGGTACGGGCTTTGAGGAGTTTGGACTGTGTTGGTTTGGGGGTTTCCTAACTATGGTGTATATCTGCACTTCCATTTCTCGTTAGTATCTTTCCCCCTTGTCTCCCTCTCGCTCGCTCTCGTTCGCTCTCGTTCTGTCTGTCTCTCTGTCTCTCTCTCTCTCTCTCTCTCTCTCTCTCTCTCTCTCTCTCTCCCAATCCCTTCTCCCTTAATCTCTCCATATCGCCGAACATTGTCCTGCTCTCGCTCGATCTTGCCTCTGCCCCGAGGACGAATCTGAAAGCCCCGGGACTTCGACCACTGAAGCTGGCTCAAACAACTCTAGCCCCCCCTCGGCTTTACGAGCCAGGTGCCTGACCTTCGCCAGCGAGGAGGCTGGCGAGACACCAAGTCCTGCAAAGCGCCGACGCTTCGACACGCTGCCGAGCATGTCGTTTGGGGTCGACACCCCGAATGGGGCTACTGAGGACAGCCCCGAGGCCCCGCACAAAGATCCGATCGTATTCGCTAGGAACCTAGCACCCGTATGTCCCTGAAGGCTCCGATGAAAACCAGACGCATCACTCAGCTGACTGACGAAGAGAAGAAGGCCATTGGCCAGATGACATCCCCACAGGCCAGCATGTGTACATGTGATCCAGCTTATACATAACTACATTGCAGTAACCCAGTATAAAGACCCCTGTATCTCAGGACATTCCTCGGGATGAAAGGAAGAGGCAGTATTCTGCCCTGAGACGGGCCATCCTCAAGAGTGCCAACCCGGCCCTCTCCGCCAAGTTTTCATTGTGTGATGATGACTCGAGGTACGTGGGGTTCTTTCACTTTGTACTTATATGCAGGGCACACATGTCACAGTGGATGACCTGCAACCTGTCCCTGCAGATTTGGGATGCTCAAATCGTTCTTGGTGAATCAAGGGGTGGGCGCCATAGAAGTGGAGGAAAAATACACCAGATGGGTGACCGAGCTGCGAACTGACCGCTACGTGACCGTACGCTGCTGAGTGTACGTGCTGTCGCTGATCCCAGATAATCAGTACTACATGGTTGCATGCATCTGCTGAGCATGTCCTTTGCATGTGCAAGCTGCTGAAGGTCACGATTTTCCAATTGGAGAAAATCTACGGGAAAAGTGCTGAGGCGAAAGCCTTTATTGAGTCCCTCATAAAGGGACGCTGGGCTGCAGCACTGCCAACTTGATTGAATTGTCGGGGTTGTGACTTAATTCGCTGGGCCTAAGGACAGGTGGGGACGCCCCACCCCCAGGCGGGCTACGTGTGCTGCTCTGTATCATGATCAACTCAGAAGCTTCAGTCAGCTGGACTGCATGCATGAGGCGCCAGACAGTGCGAAGGCAAAGATGTACAAGGTTTTGCGGGAGGTGGTGGAAGAGAACACGACTGCTTCCAGGGGTGAGTCCAACGATGCTTATCTGCAGCTACACTGCCCAGTCCTGTAATGCTCGGCACGATGTTGTTGTCCTGGGGCTGGGAGCAATCCAATCGTGGACTCATACTAAGTTGAGACTTGGTGGTCGAGTCAACGAAGCTTCGGCGAAAAAAATCCTCGCCAAACAACTCGGCGAGTTTGGCAACAACCTCGAAAGTGTGGGCTTTCTCGACCGCAAAACCGGACGCATTTCTGGCAAGACACTTTGCTGACCATAGACATTTACGTTGACCCAGTGAGTTGCTCAGTCAAACACTTGTGCTACATCATAAGGAAGGCCAAGAAGCCCCTGACCCCGGAGAAGCAAGCCGAGAAGGATCTGAAGAGCGTGTGCACGAAGTGCCCCAGCTGCATGCTAGGTATTCGATTGACGAGTTTTTTGGGGAGTCCAGCGTCACTTGTTTTATGCCCCGTGCCGTTCGCTACTACCCCCTATGATATCCAAATAAACACTCACTATATAGAGGGACTAGATTGACTAGATCGGCTTTGTTTTTAGGGTCATTGGGGTTGTTGATTGGTCTCACACGGCGCCCGAAAGGCTTATCATACTATAGGTTTCCCATATCACCATTTGTACCCATCCTGCCCAAACCTAGAAATATCGTTGAAGCACTCAGTGCCCTATTGCCCGGATACCGCACGCCCTCTGAACTTCGAGGCTGACAAGCTTGCTGAAGCTTATTCCACAAAAGCTCCTGGAGATGCGAGGGCTGAAGGTCCGCAACAGCAGCGAGCTGGCTTCCGCCTTAGCAGCTTTACTTGTTGCAGTGCACTTCACGGCCCCACCCGTCGCTTCAGGTGAGATCATTGGAAAACCTCGAGCCCAGGGTGGAATCCATTCTGAAGATATGCCAGGACAAGCAGCAAGAGAAGATTGAGAATGCCGACGCACTTCAAGAGTGGATTGCCGAGACTACATCTGAGGTTCTCCATGATGCGGATCATGATGTTAAGGATGCACAGCGGCGGATCAATTCGGTCAAAGCCAAAGAGAAGAAGGCCGACGCTGAGGCAAAGGCTGACGCAGAAGCCGACCACAGCGAAGAGGAGCACAGCGACGAGGAGGATTGACGAAGCCAATCCTGTTTAATGTTCGGTCGTGGACCACTGTAGCCAGCTGTTTGTGGGCATCTTAGTGAGCTGTATGGGGATGTGTGTGGGAATCGACCGTATACTCCCGCTCTCAATACTGCTGATCTACTGGTCAACATCCCCGTAGCAGCCAATGATGCTGTTCCAATAGTGTGGCTTTTACCGAGCCTACAAGTGTTCGGAAGGGATCTAGCAAGGCGGCTTTTTGGTCGATGACAGGCGTAATCATATGCACCTTGCAAATAACTCTAGTCTAGGTGTATGGGTCATATACTGAGAGTTACTCGGGTACCTGGGTTTTCTCATTAGTACGTACGATGAAGAGTTGTATGCAATGTGTTCTACATTGACCTGGTGGCCGGCTTTGCATTAAGTTCAACCCATGGCAGTGCCAACATTGCCATCCTGACAAGTACGTTAGGACCACCTACGAGGTTGCCCCGCAGAAAATGTCCTCAAATTACGCGATGCAGCAGTTCTGTCGACGCATGCTACCTGCTACATGAACCCAAACCATGGCTGCCCTGATATGCTTTGTGCTGTGTGCAGGTCCTTAGTAGTCTCGTGAACATGAAACACAATCTTCCCCACGCCGATCCCTGCACACAGAGCGCTACAGCAGTGACTCGTAAGCTTTGTATGCCGTTAAGACACCCTGCAAGTATGTCGTGACTTAAACCCCAAACAATTTCCCTGCCAGGTCCTCACGTACTTTTCTAACACCCATATCCCCGACCCTGTATATAACCCCCCAAACCCCGACCCAACCGTAAACCCTCAATCCCAACCCTGGCCATGGAGTGGCTGTCGATGCAGCGGGCTGTGTTAAGTTGGGGTGGGGAGCAATATGCTTCCTCTGTGATGGCTTGATGACATGGACGTGGTGGAAGAATTCCTGGAATTGGGCAAAGATGTGATCTGTCTGCGTAGAATGTATTCCTCGTTTCATTCTGCAGACATAACAGCTAAGGTCAGTGTATCTACCATTGTGGCTATGCTTCAAGTTATCCATCGACGGTTCCCTCGCTCACTGCAACCGTGCCATGCGGCATTTTATGGAGAGATGTGGGGTCCTTTTACCATTATGGATATTGCTAAGGAAAAACCTATGTGACCTGGCCGATCGGATAGAAGCCTCGAGCCACAAGCATGTGTCACGCACCTTCTGGAGATGGCTTGCTCGACAATCGTGGCGGCAAATGCTGCCTGAGCCGTGGGAGCTGCTTGTGGGAATATTTTTTGTGATTATGATGATTTTCGTTTGCTGTGTGCTTTCGACGTGACATCAGACTGAGGGTTCAAGTGGTACTGGTGGCAGGCTTAGTATGTGTAGCCTCACAGGTGCCAGGGCCTCTAGTGAATGTTGTTCACCAAACTCAAAAGCCTAGGTGGACCCGAAGAGAGAGGTCCCGCACTACTTGGGTCAGTGGCACATGTTCTTGCCGAGTGAAGCGATCCCCAGCTGCATGGAGCTATAGGGTTTAGGCCTGGGGGGCTACATGGTTCCATGCAGCCTGATTGAGGTTCGCTTCTTTCTATTCCTACAACAATGCTTTGTTTCGCAAATTACTTCTCGGTGAAGACGGTGTTGCTTGGTTTTTATGTGCAATGTACTGTTGGGATCGTAAATTTCCAGCAAACTCAGGCACTTCAAGACTTCTGGGGCCGCAACAAGAACTCCGAATGGTTCCGAGCGCACCCTTACCTGGCTGCAACGAGATTGCATTACGATCCGAGTATCCCATAAATCTGTTTGTGCATGTCTTCCTTCACAGCTGTAAGGCCATGAACCTCGATCGCACGATACCACTTGTTATTCATGGTGATGATGCCGAGTGTCACCGTCGGCGATCGTTTATGGTTATGACTTGGGGTAGTGCCCTAGTGCATGCTACACCGTGGGATTCGAAGTTCGTTGCCTATGTGGGAGACAACAATCAGCTCGGAGATGAAGCCTACAAGGTCCTCGATGCTTGGGTGGCATGGTCTCTCCTGGAGTTAATGCTAGGGCATTGGCTCGATGTGGATCCCTGGGGCAATCCCTTCAATCGCAGCTTGTCTTCAGCTAGTCTTCATGCAGACAGACAGACAAACAGATAAACAAAGACAGAAAGAGAGAAAGCATCAGTGTGTACGTGTGTGTGTGTGTGTGCGCAGGAGGGCGAAAGGGGCCTATCGCCGAAGGATGGCGGGGTGTACTGGCTGTCCACAAAGGAGATGAGAAATACATCCAGAAGGCCGTAAAACCTCTGAAATCGAGTGATTATTTCGTGCGAGAACCTACAGGCCTATGCAACGGTCAACTCAGCGACGAGCACGAAGGTTTGCTTTGTGTGCGAGGCGCGATGGGGATGTGCGAGGTTACGGAACAGTTCTGTGCAGAATGCCCGCAGGCGTCGAAAGATCCCAGTTCCCCGAATCTTTACACGTACCATGGACCGGCTGCGGCACATCGGCAGACGTGACCTGACAGCAGATATGCAGCAGCAAAACATACAGTGTGCACCTGTGTGAAATCAGGTGCATGACCACTTCCGAGTTCATACAACACGGTTGTCGTCAGAATGCTTGGGTGTGCATGCCCGGTTGGCACATCGACCTACTGATGTATGACTGGCTTCATGTGCTGGATCTAGCGGTGGTACCGGACTGTGTGGCCTCGGCATTGCTGGAGCTGACTGCTCCCGGTGTTGGCTTGTTCGTCGGAAGCGATCAAGACGAAAGGCTCCGGAATGCGTATGTGCAGTTCAGTGCTTTGTGTAAGCAACACCGGGTGCGATTCTTGCCTTAACTAAGCATGCTGATATGTGCTCTCCCTCTCTCTCTCTCTCTCTCTCTCTCTCTCTCTCTCTCTCTCTCTGAACTCTGTGGTGTATAAGGCAACCGTGGGAGGATTTTCAGTCTGCGACTTGGCACGATGATTCTGTTGTATATCAAGGCTACCTATATGTGCCATATGTCTACCAGACCCGAGGAAACAGCTGAGTGGTGGTGACAAAAAAAAGTTGCAGTTCCCCACGATTGCACAAAAACACTTGTCTGGAGCAGAAGCTTGGAACGCACAAACCCCACATCATTTAACTTCTAATGACTGAAACCCCTGCAAGGAGAGTGTGATGATGGCGCGGTGGCTTATGGGGCTGACTGTTGCTGAAGCCTCGAAAAGCCCCGGCGATGCCCATGCAGAGCCACACGTCCCAAATATGTTTCGTTTGACGAGAGGCAATACCTCATCTAACATTGTTAGCAACTTAGGTTGCGAGCGGCGGTATTCATCAACCTCGTGCGCATGAGAGAAGCGATCTCTATCAACAACGGCAATCAGTTTTCCACCCTCTCCGATGCCAACATCCAGAAGCTTCAGGAGGCCAACTACTTGTTCCACTGTGCACTGAATGGCCAGGGCCCTGGCTGTAAGCTCCGTATAGGCATAGGTGTATAGATTTACAGCATATATGTTACTCTGATTCACCGTGGCTTGAGGTCTTGCTGATGAAGCTATACAGAACGGACGAATGTTATGGAAAATACGACCCAAACTGCACAAGCCCCTTGGAACAAATACTTTCCAGCGCCATTCCTTCTCAACCTCAAACCGTGCTATCCAAGGGCTGACCATATCTCCTACGACAGTGCTGTGCGCGTCAACCCCTTGGTGGTATCGACATATTTGGATGAGGATGCCGCCTCACAGCTGCATGGCACGTATGCAATTTGTGCTGCGGAGACCTCCGGACTATCATGCTGCGCTGCGCAACTTAGGTTGGTAAAGTGAAACGACTCGCGAAGTTATCTCACCCAGTGTGTTTAGGCCGCCAAGTGTTACATAGGTATGCAGCCTATGTTTGCGTGCGTTGGCTACGAGCCCTGACAAACGAGCTGGCATGACCGCAGAAAGGCCGAAGTCTTCGATCGTGATCAGGTAGAGCAGCAGGTAGTCCAAAACCCCCAAAAGTAGCATAAGTAGCTATTCTTACATGGCATAAAAACCACCCCATATATCAAGTGTAAGTCCCCTCTTTCCCAGACTCCGGACAAGTGCATTCTATTAGTGGTGCTTTGCATCAAAACCTCTTTAGAGGTGCGTTGGGGGGTCCTGGTAGCATCGAAAAGCATGCCAGTCCCATGACATAGGCAAAGGGGGGAAGGGGCAGCCATGCGGCAGACACAGCTAGTATAGGGGCCTTAATAATTACCTATACTTTTTTGGGGGCTCCTTAGTAAAAACATGGTACAATGCTCCCGAAAAACCCATTCTAATGATTAAGGCCCCTATATTACAGCTCAAAGCCAGCTGGGCTCGAAAGATGCAGTCAGATGTGCAAAACAAGTCCACATTTCCGAAAATAGGGGGTACGTTATTTGTGGGTGCTCATAACAATGATCCTTCTATTTAGGACACTACAGGGTCCCCCATTTTCGGAAACCCCCACATTGCACTACGTGCCCACACCAGTTTGCACATACACTTGGTCCCACGACTGTGCGACATCCCAAGGTGTAGGATCACCACCGACAGTATGCAACCCCACACGCTCAGCTAGCACACACTTACTCGACTTGACCGTTTCTTCATCGTCTATCAACGAAGTGGGTAGATTGAAGCCTAAGAGCGACAAAGCCTCACCCTTTTCGGCCTGAAGCCGCGACAAGCCACACGGAGTTTCTGCCGGAAGGCAGCCCCTACTTAGTAACTAGGGTTATAAGTAACCTACCTATACTTAGAACCCCAATTAAGGTACTTATAACCTATAACCTTACTTACTAAGTCCCATGATCCTTTAAGTAGGTGGATCAGCAAGGCAGTGCTGATCGGACATACGGCTTGGCCGCTGACATCCTAGTCGGCCTTCCTGTGCCCAGCAACTGCCGACCGATGAGACGGGTTACAGCACGACTGCTGATGGACAAAATCCTGCATTACCCATTATAAGGATAAGGGTACCTTTAACGGGCTCCTTTAAGGGATCTATAGGGTTTTAGGGTTTAGGGATATAAATCCTGCATTACCGATTATAAGGAGTATGCCATAATTCCCATAATTTAGGGTCCTTAAGGTCATGCAGGATTTTGTCCATCAGCAGTACCTCACGAGAATGGCTGCGTGCGCCGCTCTCTACCCATTCACGGTCACGAACTCAGTGGCTTCTGTCTGGCCCGCTGCTGGGGCTACTGTTCCCACAGCTGCAGTCGGCCAGTACGTGCCACTTCACGTTCTCGTCACGAGAGCCACTGCGACGCTTGCCGTGGCTGTCTGGGTTCACAAAGCTAGGCGGTTTGATATTGGTTTCTGGCCCAGGGGACCTAAGCAGCTAGGACGGCACGCACCCACCATGACATGTTTGATACCAGCACTGACATAAATACTCAGGCAAACATATTCAGTTTGCAGCTTGAACAGCCTATGTGTTTGCATATGGTACGAAAATGCGCGAACACAACATGCATAATGAGATACGAACATTGTACAAACATGCGACCACAAACACACAACACACGCACACATCCTCGCATTCGTGCTTGTTTATCTATCTTTATTTATATCTAATACCTATCACAATGCACGAAGATCGAATCGACAACAGTCGCTAGAAAGTCTCCGACGCCAGTGTCACACAGCAAAGCCCCAAACTTACAACGAAAACCCCATCCCTCAACCCCAAACAACCCCAAACATCACAAAGAGTTTGTGGGCTCCAATGGTGAGCCCGAAACAGGACCTCTATGCCATGGAGTCTCATTTCATCTACGACAACTGGCTGCAAATCCCTGGCTGCCGATTGGGGAGGGTTTCGGGCTTTGGGGCTTGGGCGGACCAGGACGAATGCGTGTCCTCTGTCACGTCTGCTGTCTTGATAACATTACTGATATCTGTCATCTATTACGATCAATTCTTAATATTCTTATTCGTCGCAGTAGCAGTCGTAGTAGCAAGTAGTAGTAGTAGTAGTAGTAGTAGTAGTAGTAGTAGTAGTAGTAGTTGTAGTAGTAGTAGTAGTAGTAGTAGTAGTAGTAGTAGTAGTACGGAGGAGCATTGTTATCAGTATTGCGTCCATGAGAAGGGCGTATACTGCATCTGCCATTGATAATCCGTTTCAGTCTCTTGCGAAGACCAGGAATTGGTACAGAATGCAGATGACAACAAGTACCCTGAGGAGGCGCCGGGTTCAGGGTCTAGAGTTTAGAGGTTTAGGGTGTGGGGTAAAGAGGTTTGGGGTTTAGGGGTTATAGGGTTTAGAAGGAAGCCGGTCAGTGTAGTAGAGAGGCTTGAACAACTAAAGTAGCAAAATGGAACGATGACAATTATATCCCCGAACACCCAACCCTAAACCCCTAAACCCTAAACCCCACCCCACTGCCATTAACAAGGCCGCTACAGTAGTCATCTCCTGATGGAGGGCTCTTCATCCTCATAGGAGGCCAAAAGGGGTTTAGCCTATGGGGGTTTAGTGGGGATTAGGGTTCCCATAATAGGGTTCATATTAAGGAATCCCTACCCCAAGAATCTTAAACTCCCCTTTTGGCCTCCCATCACAGCCACATCACCCTTCTATGATCATGTATTTGGGTCATCTTGGGTTGTGCAGTTCTGTCAGTAGCGTCGCCAGCATTACCGTTGTTGCCACGTTCCCCGAATCACAGAATATCTTAACCCTTCTAAAAGAATCTGGTGTTGCCCTGCTGTTATTGTCTTCACTTCGGTGCTGCTGATACATATTCCTCCTGCTCCTCTTCCCCTAAACCCTAAACCCTAAACCGGTCTTCCTCTTCCTCATTATCTTCCTCTCAAGCTTGGCAAAAAACACCCTCGGCCCTAACCCTCCTGAACCCTAAACCCCTACTTGGAGCATCACGGGACTTAGTAGGTAAGGTTATAAGTACGCTGATCGGGGTTATAAGTAGTTCTTTTTGGGTTCTTGTAGTTTAGTAGGAATGGGAAAGTGCTTATTGGGATAGTAAGAAAGCGTAACATGTTACATGTCACGATTTAGGGTTAAGGGCTTATAAAAGCCCCTTAAAACTAGTGTATTCATAATATATAGGCTCTATAGCTGTCTATATTCACAATTTAGATGTTTTAGCCCCTGAATCGTTGCCCGATCACAGACCTGTTGCTGTATGGGTGCAGTACCCACGTACTTTATGCCGGTACTCGTACTTGGAGCTTCTTTTTATGTTGTCAGTCTACCCTAAGGGTCCTAACCAATTGGGGAACCTCAAAATTCAGGGATTCTGAGACCCCAAAAAGACCCAAGGACTCTCCCTAGGAGATTCCGGACCCTCCTAAGGAGATACCTGGACCCTTAGGGTACTTCGAAAAGCCGCAAACATCCTACACTGCATCCCCAAAGCCCATCGTGCAAACCCTAAACTTCAAAAGGATCAGAAGAGCCTCCAAGAAGCGCCCTAATCCCGTAACCAACAACCTTGGACCCTAAACCCTACAGCCTAAACCCTAAACCCTTATATAGATCCCTTTGAAGGAACCCCTAAAGGTCACAGAAAAGCTTTAAAGAGCCTAAACCCCAAACCCTAGAACCCAAAGCCAGCCTTGCAGAAGGCTCGTCCATGTCTTGAGCTTCAGCTCCGCCACGAAGACACCGGAAGCTACTTCTTTTCGGCTCCTTGGGCGAAGCCATGACACCCCCGTGAGTTTTAGGGTTTAGGGTTTTAGGGTTTAGAGTTTTGGGGGTTAGGGTTTTAGGGTTTAGGGTTTCAGGGGTTAGGGTTTTAAGGCTTTTAGGGTTTAGGCTTTTAGGGTTTTGGGCTTTTAGGGTTCAGTTCACGATCTAGGTAGGGCTTTGGGACATTTTATATTGTCCCTTATTGAGCTTAGGAGGACCTTATTTACCAATATTTCTCAAACGCTTTAGAAGCCCCACCCAGAATTGCTTCTTTGTGCAGGCACTTCGGCTATAAACCATACATCTCCATCTTCCAAATCCGTAAGCCTAAATCCCCAGAAAAGTGCATGTGTCACACTTCGACGGTTTGGTTAGAGCACCTCTCAACTTGTGGCTTCTAATTCCTTCTTCTTATCCTACCTCATAAACCACACCTATAGTCTCCATTGTAGTTCCTTTTTGGATAGCCAGTTTAATGGTTAGATTCCTGTAATAGTGGTTTTGGTCAACCAGATAAAGGAACTACAGTGGAGGCTACAGGCAAACTCTAAATCCCTGTCTTCGCAAGCCCCTAAACCCTAAACCCTAAACCCTAAACCCTAAACCCTTAAACCCTAAACCCTAAACCCTTAAACCCTAAACCCTAAACCCTCCATGCTTCTCAGCCGGGCTACGAGTTCAAGTTGACTAGGCTCCTGAGTAGTAGCCCTTTTGCCCTTTTGCCCTTTTTGTAGGATGCCCAGTAGTACCCTTATTCCCTTTTTGTAGTCCCAATACGAAAAGGGAGCCCTTTTTAGTCCTGGGTTACTGAGCATTC